AGTGTCGCCCCCGAGACCACTTCTACGGAGCCCGCTCCACCCCCGGTAGCGAATTGTGGGGGTTCTGGGCGGGTGGCGGTGGGAAAACGGGGCTCAGGCCGGAAGTTGGCGCTGAGTCCGGCCCGCGTTCTTGATGCGTAGCCGGGCGCTGTCTGTCCTGCTTTTAGTCCTCCTCTTGCGCCGGGTCGGACCTGCGGGGATCTTACCGAGTGCGAAGAGGAGGAGGAAGGGGATGATCCGAGCCCGAGTGACCCCGCTCCGGCCTGTGCGCGTGAGGTGGTCCTGGGGTGCCCTGGGCTCCAGCCTGGCTCCGAGAACGCATGGGTCGGTCTGCCCCTGTGATCTGCAGACCTGGGCGTGCGGGGACCAGGGTGACGGGACCTCCCAGCCAGAACTCCTGGCTCACGGAGGCCGGGTGAGGTTGAGGGGACAGGCAGGCTCATCACCGACCAAAGGTGGCCGCTCTGGGAAGGAGGCTGGGGCTGGTCAGTCCTGATTTCCCGGAGAAGTGGAGCCTAGGATAGCGTGGAGAATGAGGGTCGGGCTGGGCTTGGGACAGAAGTGAAGCGGTGCATAGCCTGTTTGAAGTTTGTGGGGGACATCGGAGGGGGGCGTTGTGGAAGAAAGGGGAGCTGCCCTGGAGGTGGGAGTCTCTAGGCGGGGAACTGCTGCATGGAGGTAAACTGGATGGAGGGCAGCAGTGAACAGGAGAGCCCGCTCATCCGTGACCTAAGAGCATAGAAGAAACCCGTCCAGCAGCCCCAGCAAGGACGGGGAGTTCTGGGTCCGAATGAATCGAGCAGTAACTTTGCACCAGGTTCCAGGTACCGGGTTCCTGGTGGGGGATAGGACAGTCCCTGCCCTGGAGGAACTGTCTGCCTCCTGGGAGAGACAGGACAGGATGACACCTGGAGAAGGGGACTGCTGGGACAGGTGGGCCCGGCTGATTGCCAAGCGAGGGGCAGAGCCCGTTGGATTTCTGACCGCCGCCCTGTGTGTTCAGTGTTGAGCAGCACCGCTTAAGGGGGAGAGAGACAAACTGAAAAAAAGTTAGAAAAGAGTTGTCAGGACCTCTGCACCTGGGTGTCTGAGCCTAAGTGAAAGCAGCAAAGAAGGGCTCAGCCACCACGGAGTTACGTGAAAGGATGAATTTTGGATGATTTAAGCAATTAAACTTAGGGGTGTTTTATTCTACAACAAAGACTAGCTGAAAGAGGAAAGAGTTCCTAAGATTGAGGTGCTCAATAATAAAAACGTAACGCGTGTGACATGGCCTTGGGACTGCCTAGTCAATAGAGGCTGGAAGGAGACTTAGTGGACAGGTACATGCGAGGGAACTAGAATTGAAGGAACTAGGATTGAAGTCTGGAAGCGTGGGAAATAATGTTTTGATTTAGGGAAAAGACCTAAAAGTTGATAATTATAACCAGTTCCTACACAGTTGCTTCAGCCTTACTACGAGTAGGTAAGATGTGATGTCGGCATGTTTCTGGGGGATGGAGATCGTTTGGCCTTGGGACTGCCTAGTGAATAGAGGCTGGAAGGAGACTTAGTGGACAGGTGCATGCGAGGGAACTAGAATTGAAGGAACTAGGATTGAAGTCTGGAAGCGGGGGAAATCATGTTTTGATTTAGGGAAAAGTTGATCTAAAAGTTGATAATTATAACCAGTTCCTACACAGTTGCTTCAGCCTTACTACGAGTAGGTAAGATGTGATGTCGGCATGTTTCTGGGGGATGGAGATCGTTAACCTGTGGAAGGGGGAGGGGGTGATGGAAGAGCTGCCTCTAAACAGCTGAAAGGCTTCTTTGTGGAAAGCGGTGAGGTTTATTCTGTGTGGCTTCTGATAGCAAAACTAAGACTAGTGGTTTGAAGCACTAAGAGAGCTGTCTACAGATGGGATCATCTGCCGTGAGAGGCACTGAATTCCCTGTCGGGAGCTTTGTAAGCTGAACACTCTCAGCTAAGAAACGTGGCTGTCCCCTCTCCCTCTGGGCGCATCTTCAGTTACCTACTAAGTTCTGGTTCTTAAGTCTGTTCTTTTCTTCCCTCTCCCTCCACCAGTGCAGCCGTGTAGCCTTGCGTCATGCAGCAATTACAACATAATAACTATAGCAGCTCATGCCTGCTGTGATTACTAATTGCCAGGTGCTGCTTTAAGTGCTTTAGAGATGCCAGCTCACCTAATCCCCCAGAAAACCCTTTTACGGTAGCGATTGTTAAATCCCCTTTTTACAGATTGGGAAAACTAAGGCACGTAGGAGCTCAGCAGCTTGCCTAAGAGCACACAGTGAGCAATTGGCAGAGCTGGGGTTCCAGCCCAGGCTGTCCGGCTTTAGAGTCATTGTTTTGAACCACTATTCTGTGTTTTACATGTGTTGCTTTATTTAACCTTAACAACAATCCAAATTTGCGGATGAGAAAGCAGACCCGGAGAAGGTGCGAGATTGGCCTAAGATCACTGCCAGACATGGGAGAGCTGGGATTCACACCCAGGACTGCTGGACATGGAGCCCACACTCTGCACTTCATTCCCCCACAGCCATTTGCTGCCTCTGTAACTGCCGCTACTGTAGTGGCCTCTAACCGGACTCCATGCCCAGCCTTTCTGCTTTACTAGTGAATTGGCAAGCTTTTACCCTGGAGTCTGTGGATGGCCTGGAAGTAAGTGAGATTTGGTGTGTCTGTGCAGGTCAGTCAGGTTTAAAGCCGAGTCTCCTTCGCTTCTGTTGACGTCTCAGAGCATTTTGTGACCCCAGATAGTGAAGAGGCTGAGTTAACTTTCTGATGCACAGATTTGATCTTGGCACAGTGATGCATCGACTCTCCACTGTCCTTAGGACAGAGTTCAAATCCTTAACCTGGTCATTCAAGGTCCCAGGAAATCAGACTTTCCTGCTCCCACCTGGTAGTCTCGCCAGTATGGGAACGTTTGCCTGCCTGTCTCTCCACCCTGGCAGCTTCTCAAGGGCAGGTGTTTGCCTTTAAAGGCCAGTGCCTGACAGGTGTTGCACAGTGAGCATGTGTTGTAACCAGCACTGAATACCCTAATGGAATTCAAGCCTTGGCCAGTTGTGTGGCCTGGTAACTTTGCAGCTCTCCCCCGTTCTGATCCCAGCAGCCTAAGGTTCTCTGATAGTAGGTGCTGCCGAAATGCAGAGAAAGGCTATGGAGGCAGGGGCTGGGCTGGGCCTGGAAGGAAGTGAACAGGTAACATGCAGATCGTTCAGAAGGTTTCAGTATTCTGACCTGGCTCTTCTTGCAGGGCAGCCCCTCTGTGGGGTGAAGCTCCCTGTCTCTAGTCCTGTCCCCCACCCTGTTGTGGGCCACTGGCTGCAGGATGAACTGTCGCTCGGAGGTGCTGGAGGTGTCGGTGGAGGGGCGGCAGGTGGAGGAGGCCATGCTGGCTGTGCTGCACACGGTGCTCCTGCATCGCAGCACCGGCAAGTTCCACTACAAGAAGGAGGGCACCTACTCCATCGGCACCGTGGGCACCCAGGATGTCGACTGTGACTTCATCGATTTCACCTACGTGCGAGTCTCCTCTGAGGAGCTGGACCGTGCCCTGCGCAAGGTTGTTGGGGAATTCAAGGTAGGGTGTGGCACAGTCCCGTCGGGACTCGAGGGAAGCATCCTTACCTTCTGGGTTGGCTCTGCATAACTGAGATGGAAAGGGTCCTGGCTACCCTAGGAGGAGGGGGTAGGGGAAGCATGGGCAGAATTATTGGACCAGATGATCCCATTTGCTGCTCAGATGAGAAGAGGGAGAAGCAGCAAGGTCTGATCTGTTCTTTGCCTCACTTTCCTCTTCTGTTCCTTGGCTTCCTTTTTTATTTTATTTTATTATTATTATTTAAAATATATTTTTATTGATTTCAGAGAGGAAGGGAGAGGAAAAGAGAGAGAGAAAAACATTAATGATGAGAGAGAATAATTGATTGGCTGCTTCCTGCATGCCCCCCATTGTGGATTGAGCCTGCAACCCGGGCATTTGTCCTAACCAGGAATCGAACCATGACCTGCTGGTTCATAGGGAATGCTCAACCATTGAGCCACACCAGCCAGGCTCCTTGGCTTCCTTCTTTCTAATCAAGGATCACTGGGCTTTATATTCCTCCCTCCTTTTCTTAAAGATTGTGAGTTGAGGTTGTCATTGAGCGAAGGAAGTGGAAGGATTGTGCTTAATTAGCAGCGGGGAATGCATACAGGATTTACCTGGGGAGTAGATGTTGGAGTGTATTTTGAAGGATGGGGCTAAAGGAGTGTGGCTGTGGAAGGAGCAAGAAGGCCCTTCGTGTAAAGGTGAAAAGCGATCAGACAATCTGGGTTCATTTGGCAAAATAACTTCAGTCTGATCCTCATTTTGCCTCAATATTCCTGCCTCCCAGAGTGGTTGAGAGGAGTGAGTGGGATTGTGTGTATAAAGTGCCTGGCCCAGAATAAGTGCTTAGAAAATGGCAATTCTGAACAAAGCTGGAGGAGTTGGGCGAGGAGACAGATTTTGTTGTTTTGTCTAAATCACTTAATTTTAGGCAGGCAGTTTGCTGTGTCCCAAATCTGTCTTCTCTGTTTCTCATTCCCTGCCCTCCCTTGTCATTGAGCGAAGGAAGTGGAAGGATTGTGCTTAATTAGCAGCGGGGAATGCATACAGGATTTACCTGGGAAGTAGATGTTGGAGTGCATTTTGAAGGATGGGGCTAAAGGAGTGTGGTTGTGGAAGGAGCAAGAAGGCCCTTCGTGTAAAGGTGAAAAGCGATCAGACAATCTGGGTTCATTCACAGGCCATTCACTGGCCTGTGACTTTTGGCAAAATAACTTCAATCTGAGCCTCATTTTGCCTCAATATTCCTGCCTCCAGAGTTGTTGAGGGGAGTGAGTGGGATTGTGTATATAAAGTGCCTGGCCCAGAATGAGTGCTTAAAAAACGGCAATTCTGAACAAAGCTGGAGGAGTTGGGTGAGGAGACAGATTTTGTTGTTTTGTCTAAACCACTCAATTTTAGGCAGGCAGTTTGCTGTGTCCCAAATCTGTCTTCTCTGTTTCTCATTCCCTGCCCTCCCTAAAGGACTAATAGAGCTAGGAGAGCATAATTCCCTGGGGCGTAGGAAGCAGGTGCTCACAGGATGAGAACTCCTGTCCTAGCCTGTTATCTGCTACCCTTTCTTCCCCAGGATGCACTGCGCAACTCAGGTGGCGATGGGCTAGGGCAGATGTCCTTGGAGTTCTACCAGAAGAAGAAGTCTCGCTGGCCTTTCTCAGACGAGTGCATCCCCTGGGAAGTGTGGACAGTCAAGGTGCACGTGGTGGCCCTGGCCACGGAGCAGGAGCGGCAGATCTGCCGGGAGAAGGTGGGTGAGAAGCTCTGTGAGAAGATCATCAACATCGTGGAGGTGATGAACCGGCATGAGTACCTGCCCAAGATGCCCACGCAGTCGGAGGTGGACAACGTGTTTGACACAGGCTTGCGGGACGTGCAGCCCTACCTCTACAAGATCTCCTTCCAAATCACCGATGCCCTGGGCACCTCAGTCACCACCACCATGCGCAGGCTCATCAAAGACACCCTTGCTCTCTAGGCCGTGCTGGGTGCCTTGAGTGTTCCTTGACGGCTTGCAGACCTTGGCTTCTGGGGATTGTACTCTTAGGCCCTTGGGGCTCTGCAACCTGCTCCGGGTCCTTGGTAAGACTTGGAAGGGCCATCCCCTGGCTTCCTTGATTTGTGGTTGCCAGTCTCTGGCCAGCCTCGTAACCTTCACTGACGGTCCAGTCAGGCCAATACTGTCTGCCACCTCTGGTGGATCCCCCTTCCTCCTCTACTGTATAGAAGGGCCATCACTATGATGGTGAATAAAGTTGAGAATGTGAGTTTGGGTTGAGCCATCTCTCCCTTGCCTTGTGTTCTGTCCTGAAACATTAATACTTTCTGGCAGACCTGTGAGGACACAGGTGTGTTAAGGGCATTGATCCAAGATGAGGGGAATGGGTGGATAGGATTACAGATAGATTAAAGCTGACTGATTATGTACTTTGTTGGGCATTCACATGTTACCCACCAGGGTGTGACCAGGGTCAGTCCCTTGAATGAGGACACAGATCTCGCCTGGCCTGCGCCCTCTCACAATCCGGGACCCCTTGGGGGATGACGGACTGCTGGTTTCGGCCTAATCCCCGCAGGCTAGGCCAAGGGACCCCCCACCGGTGCACGAATCCATGCACTGGGCCTCTAGTATGCATATAAGATCCTTGGTTAATCTCTTCCTGCCCTGCCCCCTCCCCTCTCCCCCATTCCTTCTGAGATTCATCAGTCTGTTCCATGTTTCCATGCCTGTGCATTGAGCGTCTGCCCCCTGATGGTCAGTGCGCATCATAGCTACCGGTTGAATGGTCGATTGGTTGGCTGGTCACTTAGGCTTTTATATATATAGATGATTGATTGATTGATTTTAGAGGGAGAGAAACATTGATTTGTTCCACTTATTTATGCTTTCATTGGTTGATTGTTGTATGTGTCCTGACCAGGGATTGAACTCTCAACCTTGTTGTATCGGGACGACGCTCTAACCAACTGAGCTACCTGGCTAGGAGGCTCTGTTGCTTTTAGATATGACAGTGCTGTTTCTCGTTCCTAAGGAAGCTGTACCATCCCTGGCCTGTATATTGTGTGGTCTTGCTTTATGATGGCAGAAACATCAATGATGAGAGAATCATTGATCAGCTGCCTCCTGCATGCCCCACACCAGGGATCAAGCTGCAACCTGGGCATGTGCCTTGACCGGAAATCAAACCATGACCTCCTGGTTCATAGGTCGATGCTCAACCACTGAGCCATGCCAGCTGGGTTTCTTTGTCTTCATAGTGCACACAGGCCCAGCGTGCACCAGAGAGCTCATTTGATTTGGGGTTTCTCTCTGGAGAGAGATGGGCCAGCTTGAGACTGGTGTCTGGTGACACTTCTTTCAGATTGGGCTGGCCCTGGCTGGTTGTTAGAACATTACTGCGGCAGCTCACACTAGTTTCAACACAGGCATACTCAAAATCAATGACCTCCATTGTGTGCTTTTTATTGATTTATTCCATATTTTGCAATGCTTTTTGGTTACATCTGGGCCAGTTGTAACAGACTAAATGAACTGTGTGTAGGGAGGGGTGCTAAGGGAGCAATGGTTGGGGTGGGGGAGGGGGCTTGCCCATGGTCCTGGAGCAGGTAGGTAGTAGCCAGGATTGGCAGGAAGCATGTGCACGTTTTTCTCATTCCAAGCCGTTTTGGCCATGTGATAGTTCATGACAGGTTTTGTGATGTTCTACTCTTGATCTCTGAAGAAACGGAGAACTCAGGGGTCTGGAGATGGGGAAGGCCCATCCCCAGCAAATCCTTAATGGTGTGTGAGCCCTACTTGGCCTGTAGTCTGGGGGACCTTTTTCTCCTAGCTGGCCATCAGCTGATCTCTTCTGAGTTGGATGACACATGTGTTTGCTAGCAGTGACTTTATTGTATTCTTTTTGTTAATGATCCTTTTTTCCATTGATTTTTAGAGTGGAAGGGAGGGAGGGGGAGAGAGAGAAAGAGAGAAACATTGATGTGAGAAAGACACAATTGGTTGCCTCCCGCATATGTCCTGACCGGGCCAGGGAATGAACCTGCAACCCAGGTACATGCCCTTGACTGGGAATCAAACCCCTGACTCTTTGGTGTGCGGACTGATGCTCTAACCACTGGCTAGGGCAGCAGTGACTTTGTTTTAAAGAGCTCAAGGTTGCTACAGGGTTTCTCAGGAGACCTGGGCAGTAGGGTCTTCCCTCCATCCCAGCTTCCCCAGACTCCTTTTCTGCAGCCAGACCGCTCCACTCTTCCACTGGCTTGGCTGTGGGCTACCCAGCTGGCAGCAAACGCCCTTAGGTGGACAGGACCATAACATCTCCATCCGTTTGGCATTGTGATTTCCCAGAGGTAGGGTGCTGATTTCTCAAGGTCAGAACCCAAACTCTGGTGACTCAGATCTGCTTTCCCATTGGTCTGTATCCCTTCTTGCCCTCTGGGGCCTGAACAAAGGAGCAGGGGTAGGCCTTAAAGTCCCCCTAGCCTCCCTCTCCTGTGTGGGACCAGGGAGGCACTGGCCTGCTTGTCCAGCCCCTGGAGGCTCCCAAAGGGGAGGAAGGATAGGCGTCACTCAGGTCCTAGAGGCTTTCATTTACTAGTATCTCCTGTTCCAGTGGCACCTGGGCCATCTAGCGGCACTGAGCAGACAGCCAGAAATGGGGATGGCCCTTGCTCCGCTTCCTGCTCTGCTGCCCTGCCCCAGCCAGCACCTGGGATGGGTCTGGAAGATCTTTCTCAACTTCCTTTGCTAAGGGGGAGGAGGAGCCTTGGGGACAGGATTCCTGGGTTTTGCTTGTTGGGAGCGTAGGCCAGATTCACATGCGTAGGTGTGGGGCTCTGAGACAAGAAGATATAACCCCTGGCCTGGAAGTCTGGGCCATAGTCCACGCCGGGGGAGCCCTTTGTCTGGGAAGGGCCTGAGTGCTTTGCGCAAGGGGTGGGGGTGTAGACGACTGGGATCCGCCCCTTAGGTCCCTCCCAGATGCAGTCCTCTGCCTGCAGCCCGGGCTCCCACACGTCTGAGGGTCCTGCGCACGTCTGGGCACATCTGAGCAGCTGAGGGGAAGCATGAACGCCTCGCAGGCAGCCAGAGCTGCCTGGCTGAGCTGCTGCAACCAGTCAGGGGTGCAGCTGGGGCTCCCCGAGGGGCCGCGCCCCGTGCAGGCAGCCGTGCTGGGCGTGCTGTCACTGCTGGTACTCTGTGGGGTCCTCTTCCTGGGAGGCGGCCTCCTCCTGCGCACTCAGGGCCTGAGGGCTCTGTTGGCCCTGGAGCAGCACGCATCCCCAGAGGCTGAGCCTGGCAGCGAAGACTCCTAGGCACCCGGCTCCTAGGCACCCAGCTGTGCTTGGGGTTGTCTCCTCCAGGCAGCCGTAGAGCTGGGCACAGTTGAGCTGGGTGCGTGACTGCCAGGGAGGGAGCTGCCTCGGTGACGGTGCGGGTCAGAGTGCGCTGAGGGCTGCTGCAGAGCCGGCTCCGGTTCCTCCTTCACTGAGGCCGCGGGTGCACAGGTGAGAGACAGGGCCGAGGGGGCAGTCACGTCAGCTCTGGTTCCGCCTCAGGAAGTCCCAGGGTGGGCCTGCAGCTGCCTCACCCCACCCCAAGCTCTGGGATCTGAGGGAAGGGGCTGCCCCCCTCTCCCCCATCATCTCCTGCAGTGGTGCCCCGCCCAGGTATTATTTCCCTAGAACAGGCGGTCCCTGTACCTG